TCCACAGACGCGCCTCTGCCCAATCCTCATGTGCACACTGGGGGAGACGGGGGAACTAGAGGGAAAGATGGGGACGCTTCCCTGATTGGTCCAGCCCTTTGCAAATAAATACTTCCAATTTCAGTAAAACATCATAAAAAGAGAAAAGACATTTGAATTTTTTTTAAGGGAGAGAAACATTGATGTGAGAGAGAGAAGCATTGATAGGTTGCCTCCCATACCTGCCCAACGGGGATTGAGCCGACAACCTTCTGGGTACCGGAGGCTCCAAACCAGCTGAGCCAGCTGGCCAGGGCTGAGATTTTTTTCTTTTTAAAAACTAGGCACTTGGTCAGATTATGTTTGTTGACTAGACCTACAGTGCTAGAATTAGTATTTTAAAGTTCACCTGCGTAAGGTTTGAATAATAAAGGCCAATAGATAATTTATTTGGATTTCTTTTTTATTGTTGTTGCTAATCCTCACTTGAGGATATTTTTTCCATTGATTGATTTTTTAAAGAGAGTGGAAGGGAGGGGGAGAGAGACAGACAGGGACATCAATGTGAGAGAGACACATTGATTGATTGCCTCCTGCATGTGCCCTGACCTGGGCCAGGATTGAACCTGGGACCCTTCTGTGCATGGGTTGGCGCTCTATTCACTGAGCTACACTGGCCAGGGCTATTTAGATGTCTTCCTGCTAAGAAGAACTTTTACTTTCTTTTTTTAAAAAAATATATTTATTGATTTTTACAGAGAGGAAGGGAGAGGGATAGAGAGTTAGAAACATCGATCAGCTGCCTCCTGCACACTCCCTACTGGGTATATGCGCGCATCCAAGGTACATGCCCTTGACCGAATCGAACCTGGGATGACCCTTGAGTCCGCAGGCTGACGCTCTATCCACTGAGCCAAACCGGGTAGGGCAATAAGGACTTTTAAATAGTCTCCTCTGGAGTAGGAACTTGTGACATACAGATTGACATTATAACCGCTTCAAATGAATTTGAGAAAGACAGGTTCATACCAGCACCTTGGCTGGACCACCTTCCATGTACCCTGAACCAAATCTTATCCCCAATGTCTGGGCCAGAAATCTGTCAGATGTGACCCTGACACCTACCCCAACCTACACGCAAGAGTCACATGAGAGATAAAAATAACAGCCCAATTGCTGGCGGCAGCATGTGAGAGAGAGCTGGGAGATGGAAGTTGGACTGTGGGAAATGATGAAAAAGTAAAATGGTTATAGTGAACCTTGCCATGGAGGGCTCTGCCCATGAGGAATCTGTCTTTTTCAGCATTATGACTTTTAAGAACTGAAATTCTCTTTTGTACTAAAGAAGAGCCTTCTCCTAAGAAAACTGCTAAATCCCAATTTTATTTACATTTTTAAATACATTTTTACTGATTTCAGAGAGGGAAGGAGAGGGAGAGAGAGAGAAACATCAGTAATGAGAATCATTGATTATCTGCCTCCTGGCCCTGACTGGGAATTGATCCGTGACCTTGTGGTTCAGAGGTCGATGCTCAACCATGGAGACACCATGGCCCGGTCTAAGGCTCAATTTTAAAAACTGGTAAATAGCTCAGCCTAGTGTAGCTTAGTGGTTGAGTGTCGACCTTTGAACCAGGAGGTCAGGGTTCAATTCCCAGTCAGAGCACATGCCCAGATTGCGGGTTCCATCCCCAGTGTGAGGCCTGTAGGAGGCAGCTGATCAATGATTCTCTCTCATCATTGATGTTTCTCTCTCTCTCTCTCTCCCTTGCTTTGTGAAATCAATAAAAAATATTTTTTTATTTAAATAAAAATAAATAACAACTGGTAAATAGAGGAATATTTCTTGGCTTTTTACTATAGAATCATTGGTAGGATCACCTTAGGTAGAATTTATACAAGTAGATCCCCTAAGTGTTAATATAAAACTCGAAAGAAACACTAAGAAACAAATAAAACTACCGTTAGTTTCTACAACTTGAACATTAATGAGAAATGAAAGTAAATGCCACTGAAATGTTAGTGTCCAGATGGCGGGGTGGTTTGACTTACTCTAGATTTTATGAGTGCATAAACTTTATAAAGGAAAATGCTTTTATATTTTTCTCAACTGCACCTGACAGAGTAAATCCAGGTTATATGTTGATGCTGAATGCAGCAATTACTATTAAACAAAATTTTTAAATTATATTGAATTGTCATAATATGAAGTTGATTTGTGCCCTTAAAATTTGAAGACCGTTTTCTAAACTTTTGGGATTTTTAAGATAAAAAACATTTTTAATACGTTTTTATTGATTTTTAGAGAGAGGGGAGGAAGAGAGAGAAACATTGATGAGAGAGGACCATCAATTAGCTGCCTCCTTCACTCCCGATACTGGGGGTGGAGCTGCAACCCGGACATGTGCCCTGGTCAGGGTGCATGGGATCATGCGCAGTGGTTCCAAGTGTCAGCCCATGCACCGAGGGTGGAGGGTTGATTCCCAGTCAGGGATATGTACCTGGGTTGCAAGTTTGATTCTGCCGTGGTCAGCCCCAATTGAGGCACATGCAAGGTGCAACCAGTAGCTGTGTTTCTCTCATATCTCTCTCTCTCTCCCTCTTTTCTCCCTCTCCCTCTTCCCACTCTCTCTAAAAATCAATGGAAAAAATATCCTCGGGTGAGAATTAACAAAAAAAATTAATTGCACAATAACTGCTAAAGAGAACTCTTTCTCCACTTTCTAGAAGAAAAAAATGATGGCCTCTTTGAACCTCTATGGATTTTTCTTTACCTCCCCCTCATCCCAACCCTGACAGCTCTACTCCCTGGCCCTGTCAGTGCATTCCTGTGACCAGGGTGAGGAGGACACATGTGAGTGGGCTTGGGCTGCCTGGATCAGAGGACAGAATTGGCTTCCCAGCTCGTGCTGCTGTGCCAGCTTGTTCCAGGTGTTCAGGCTGCTTCACTGCTTACTTCATAAAGTACAGTCTAGCTGGCCTTAGCTGGCTGTGAAAGTGCAGTTATTTCTAAAACTGTAGAGAAGCAGTTTAAAGAAGAAAAGGTATATATTTCCATTCAAGTAGACTGAAAGCCGTATGGGGACAAGATTGGATGTGGAAAAGACTAGGAAAAGAAACAGGCATGTTGGCAAGAGAAAGGAATGGAATTCCTTGACAGATAATTAGCAAAAATTAATTTTAAAATATAGTTCATTTAGGCATCTAGGCCTTTAAATTGGCTTCTTTTGCTTCTGTTCAATATCTCTTAAAACTTTTAGAGTAGCCCTAGCAGATTTGGCTCAGTGGACAGTGAATAGGGTGTCAGCCCGACAATTGAAGGTCTTGGATCCGATTCTGATCAAGGGCACACACCTTGGTTGCAGGATTGATCCCTGGCCCTGGTCGGAACGCACGTGTCTCTCTCACATCAATGTTTCTCTCTCTCTGTCTCTCCCCCTCCCTTCCACTCTAAAGATCAATGGAAAAGTATCCTTGGGTGAAGATTAATAAAACAAAAAAACTTTTAGAGTACTTAGTTTAAATTTTTGTTCGTTCTGTACAAAGTTACTGAGCACCTGTATTGTGTTTAGAAAATATTTTTGTCTTAATTTTTAGGTCATTATACAAATAAGGTAGTAGTAATAGAAAACAAGTTAGAACATTCCGTGGCATTTCCAGGGGTTCATCTTTCCCTCACCTTTGACCCTTTACATATCTCTCTCTCTCCATTACATACGATTTTGTTTCCATGTTTTGTTCTTTTAAAATAAAAGCTATTCCTTTATTTATTTCTTGATCATCTGAATATGTCTCAGTTCTTTGTCAGGCCATGCTACAAAATTCATTGAATCGGAAGTGCATTCATGTTCCAGTTGATGAAGGCGTATTTGTGAGGGGGCTTTCACCAGGTCTTGACCTTTAGGGCTCCTGCTCCAAGGTGACCTGTGAGACAGATATAAAAAGCAAAAGCTAAAAAAGTCATAGTCTGGCTCAAGAGCACAGTGTTATCTGGCTCAGATTAGGCATTCAGTGTATATTTGTTGAATGAATGAATGAATGAAGTAATCCTCCATAGATCAGAAATAGAGTGGCATGGCAGAATGCAGCCTGGACCCTTGGAGTGGGGTCCAGGTGCCTGATGGGAAGGACACCAGGAGCTGAGACTTAGAAAGATGTGGACTAGGTAGGGGGAGGACACAGATGCAGTGCACATGAAGGATGGAGCCAACCCGCCTCTGATTCCATGGCTCTGTCTGCAGCATTCACAGGTCGTTTGTAATGGAGACAGATAGATATGTAAAGAACATGCAGAAATTTAAAATATCAAATAAAATGCCGACTAGAGATAGGATAACTCTAGCCCGGATACAGCTTAAAAGAAAATTAGTAAATTGGAATAGATTGAATAATACATTAGAAAGACACAGATCTTAAAAAATATAAATAAAATAATGAGAGATAGAGAGTATATACTCAAATGCCTAACCACTGGATGAAGTTGTCGCTCTCCTCATCCCTTTCTGACCTTCACATTGCCCTGTGCATCTCTGTCAGTACCTGTCACTGGCGCAATGACCGGGTGTATGTTTTTGTTGACTTAGTTTTGCTGAACTCCTGCCAGGTGCTGAGCTCTGTCCTGGGCACAGTGTACATAGACATCCAAGAACAAGTCAGATAAGGGCCTTGCCCTGTGGACAAGGGCCTTGCCCTTTTGTTCTAGGCTATTCATCACTATATCCCGGGTACATGGTGTTATCTGGCTCATATGAGGCATTCAGTGTGCATTTGTTGAACAAATGAATAAATGAGTGAAGTAATCCGTGGCCTTGATTATCTGCTCTGTTTGGCCAGCTTTGCAGTGTGGGGAGAGCCTGGGAGGAGACGACATGCTCTTGTCAGTGACACATGAAACACTGGTGTGGCTTCCACCAAAATGTGTCCTTTTGTTTTTCATTTCTATTTTACAAAACTGCTCAGAAGAATCAGAATGAGACAGCAATATAAACAACATCAATGTTAATTTTTTTCCCACTTTTCAGGCTGGAGTAAAAGGGACATTGGGAAGATTAGTTGGAATTTTTGAGGTAAGTTTGTTAAAATCTTTGGTACATTTGGTATCGTATTAATAACCAAATATATCTTTGTCTTGGTCCATTCAAGATGCTGAACAAAATTATCATAAATTGAGTGGCTTATTAATAATAGAAATTGATTTTTCATAATTCTGGAGGCTGAAGTGGAAAATTAAGGCACTAGCAGATTCAGTGTGTGGTTGAGCACCTGCTTCCTGCTTCATTGACGGCTGTTTCTGTCCTCATGTGGTGGGAAATGAAAGGTTGCTCTCTAGGTCTCTGTTATAAGGGCACTAATTCCATTCCTGAGGGTCAGCCGCAAAGGCCTCACCTCGAAACCATCACATTGGGGAATGTGATTTCACCATATAAATTGAGGGGTGGGGCATAACTATTCAGTCCATTGTAGTCTGTCTCCTCCAAAGAGCTAGAATATTATTTGTGAGTATTATTTATCCCCATCTCTATCTCTCTACCTTTCCTCCTAAGATGTGAGGGGGTAGATGAGTGTAGAGAAGACAGGGAAAATGGAAGATTAAGCAGCTATAGCAAGAGAGAGAGAAACAAGGAAATCTACTGGGGTAGAGATTTGGAGGAGGTGAAAGGAAGTGAGAAGTCAGGGAATAAAGAGGTTAGTAGGAAAAGAGACAATCACTGGCTTGCCCTGATGAGGCCCTGCCCATCCAGTCTCTTTTCTTTCTGGTGCCCAGCTACCTAAATTTACTTGGTGCCTTTTTCTTGAGAGGTCATGACTTCCTGTTCACAGCATTTACATGAAGTTGCACTTAAGGGAAGGGAAGGAAAACAGAGAATAAAGCCTTGGCTTTGGAAACCCAGCCAAGGAGCTTACCTTCAAATGCAAGTGGCCTCTTTCAAATAGGCCATCTGGCACTCGTTCATGTTTAACTGTAGGACAATGAAAAGTAAAAGGAATCCTGTGTCTAACCTCTCTGGACATAGTGTGAGAGTGCACTTCGCATAAGTCATCTCAGCTCTGTAAGGAGTAACTCTTCCTCCTCCCTTTGCCCTCAGAACCAGGAGAGGAAGCACAGAACGTATGTCTATGTGCTCATTGTCACGGAGGTGCTGGAAGACTGGGAGGACTCAGTTAACATTGGTAAGTCATCCCAGATGCCTCCAAAGAGCTCCCCACAGCTGCCCTTGCCGAAGCACAGGTGTTACTCAGAATCAGAAACAAGCGCCTGATAAGGAGAGAAATAATTGCCTGGCCGGCATGGCTGAGTGGTTGAGCATTGCCGGGAGCCGGTCCATCCTTGATGCTTGACACAGTCGCTGCAGGAAAGAAACATCTGCACAGCATATGTTTCAAGGGACCTGGTGTATATGGCATACTGTTCTTAATATGTTTGCTCACCTTCTTGGTGCTATGTGTTTTAACCAAGGTCACCTCTCCGAGAAAGGTAGTTTCCCCAGGTAGGGATTTTTCCCTGAAGTCAGGGAGGGGATGAAACTCCTTAACTAAGTGCCAGGAGGGTAGTTAATCACTTTAACTACAAACAATCATGCTTAAGCTACATAATCTTTACTCCTTGGAATGGAGATAAGAAACGCCCTAACCTTTGTAATAGAAATTGACAGGATTAAAATCAACTGGTATAAATACGGATGTAACAAGACAATAAACAGCAGAC